GGTGTTACTACTAACTTGATTTTGACATTCAACTGCTTAGATGAAGCTGTGGGGTGAAAATATATCTGTGTAGGTTCTGTTCTGTAGTCAAATTATTCTCATAAGTGGACTGTTTTCAAATCTTTATTGAGTTTATTTCAATGCCAATTTTATACCAATGTTACAGAAACTTTTAATATCGTTTTCAGACGGGCGACAAATTACGATTAGACGGAATGGACGGTGAAGATATTGCTATGATGCATTTAACCAACAGCACTGTAATAGTACCGTTCAAAGCATCCACAGTACATTTAAAAGAAGTGACAAACTCTACAGTTATTCTTGCTCCAGTTCATTCATCAGTCATGATTCGAGACTGTTCCGGCCTTACTGTTGTTGCTGCTGCTCAGCAAATACGAATACACAATAGCTGTAACATTCATCTATACATTGCTGTTCGTGGTGCAGTGATTATTGAGGACTGCGACGGTATTGAAGTGGCGCCTTATCGAGTTAGCGGAATAAAGTTAGAATGGGATAATAGCAGCTGGAAGGAAGTGAAAGATTTTAACTGGTTAACAGTTGAAAAGCCTAATCCTCACTGGAAGGTCATGGACGAACAGTCGTGGCAGACATTTGACTTGAACTGCACCTGAGTTTTTTATTTTAATGTAGAAAAAGAGGAGTCGTAATAATTAAAGAGAAGAAGGCTTTTTTTTTATGGTTGAAAATTTGAGTTGGTAGTTACTGTTACACTGTAATTTTACCTTGTTGGATTTTTGTTTTGATAGGATGGGAATTTGAGCATTTTGGAATGGAGGCTTGTAATACTGTTGTAGTTGAACCTTTTTGTTTGGACAATAAAAGTTCTTTCAATAAATTATTTTCCGATCTGCATCAGATGAAAGAAAATTGAGTTTTGGTGACCGAATTTGCTCAACTCAAATTTTAACATTTTTGAGCGCTTTGCAAAGATTTCGTTACGTATACAGAGTAGCTTTGGTAGAAGGTGTTCGGTCTATAATTTTTGAGTGTTGGTGCGTAATCCTTCCTGATGAAAATAATTAGTTCGGAGGTGTTGAACCTACTGGAAAGGAAATCGAGTTTTTCCTTTATTCATGCGTTGAAATGGCAAGCGGAAAGATGCTATATCAAATGGGTTAAGTTTGGGCGTTGGTTTCAGGTGATCATTTGTGGTCAGATTTAGTCCTTGGAGGATGTGTGTCGCATGGAAAAAAAAGAGGTTTCGGAAGATTTGGGTTGTTATGTGAGGTTTTTTAGAATTCTTGTTTGCTTTTGATGACGATTATTGGAACAGTGTTTACTCCATAAAGTTTTGGATAATTTTTGATAAAAATTGATTTCTACTGTTCTCTGGTGATTTTAAGTCTGAAAGGTTTAAAATTTGTGTTTGGCAAGTTCTCCGGGAGCGTTTTTTTTTTTTTTTTTTTTTTAAATTGTATTAGTGGATATCAGTTTGCTGTTAAATGTTATAGGTTCTTCCCGATCCTAGCAGTATTAATTTTTCTGGGTGTTGAGCGGATTCAGTATTATTAGAAATACTGTAAGATTTTGAAGGGCCTTTTAGGTTTTTTTCTGCTATAAACTGTTCGTCGAGATTCTGACCAGCAATAGTTGCATTGGTAAAGAAACAAGTCTAACTGTAGTTCTTTATTTATCTTAAATAATCGGAAGCAAAAAGAAAAAACCGTTTAGGAAAAAAATAGAAACTGAAATGAGGATTAAAGGAAACAACAGTTTCAATAATATTAATGTTTTCACTACCAGAATTTTTTTTTTTTTTTTTTTAGACAACAGATAAGACAGACAAAAAATGCTTGGGAGCTTCTTTTCGTTTTTTTTAGTACAGGACAATAGGAGAAATTGAAGTAACGGAAGACAAAATCTTTCAATTTGCAAGAATAGTAATACAGAAAATAAAATACTTGAGAAAAAGTTGAATGAAAAATATGAAAATAAAAGGAAGGGAACAGCAGCATATGGAGAAAAGAATGAAAGTTGTTAAATATTAAAACTTTATACAATTGGGAAGAAATTTTTCAAATGTAATTTTTATATTCTATTTTTTTTTTTTGTTTTCCATTTTTTTTTTTGTTTACCAAAATAAAATTCATCTTTATCGAAGTGTTCAGAAACTCCATTTTCTCCTTCATGTAACTGCTGATTTATCATTTGAGATCTGGAGGAAATGTTATCTAATGCATGCGCTGCAGTAGGTAGCTGCGCATTGCCAGAATCTGCAGAACTGCAGATGTTGCTAATTAAGCACATCTGCAGATGTGTTACTCAGATGTATATACGTTAATGATACGAGACTGTAGGAGCATAGGTGTAAAATTGAAGAAGAGACGATACGAATATTATGATCCATACCGTAACCCGGTATATTTGTTGTGTCAAGAAAAAGTGTATTTGGAATAAAACAAAAGAAGAA